TCCATTTATATAGCTAGGAACATGAAATTCCGCACTGTTTTCAATAATTATCAACAGAAAACTTACAGTGAAAATTGCAAAGATCGGGTCACTATAACCTATAGCTCCCATACAACTGATTGTTCAGATATGAGGTCTTTTATCATAACTCCTCCATTTATGCAGCTAGGAACATGAAATTTCGCACCATTTTCACTCATTATTAACATTACAGTGAAAATAACAAGGATCGGATGACTACAACATATATCTTCCATACATCTGATTGTTCAGATATGGGATTTTACTGTAAAACTCCTTTATTTGAACAGCTAAAACCGATAAATTTCGTAAGATATTTTATAAATAATAATACAAAGTCTACTGAGAAAATCGTCAAAATCTGGAAATTTTTGACAGTTGCTCTGGTTCAAAAGAAGTTGAGCAATTAAAATCTGAAATTATACAAAACAGACTTGTCTTTACTGACATTTATTCTTCTAGAACTAAAAGCCATGAATTTATTAGACGCCTTAGTAATAAAATCAAACCATCAGGCCGGGTTGAAAATTTTCATTCACCTCATAGTTAACAAAAATTTACAATCCGTAGTACTTTTCTATCAATTCTCAAATGCGTTTAATTTAAATCGTTTAGAAAATGCGTCATTTATGTATACCATTTTATGTTGAATTATTCAATAAATTTCTTTTTACACTATACTTTTTGAAACTATTTGGAGTTAATTATTATTTTTTATTAAAAGCAACCCTGCGTGCTTGGAAGGCGTGTGTACCAATAATTTCATCCCTAGCATATTCATCCCCGAGGAAGGCAGTCACCAAATTCACCGAAGGTTGTTTACTGGTTATATTGTGCTCAAAATTGATACACACCGGCTTACCATGTAACGGTAGCTTTCAGAAAGGTGAAAAACAAATCATTAATACTTGCGCCGGGTATTTAATTTTCGACTCCGCCCGAACTTAGCCTTTCTTACTTGTTTAGGTTTTCATTTAAAAACAATTTTGTTCTTTATGCAAAACAAAAGACAATGGTCTAAGATAAGTGTGCCACCATTTTTGACCATGAACACGTTTTTGTCGAAAAACGTAACAACTCGTGAGATTTGCTCATATGTATGACAGGGCGGTATCTAGGGAGAGTTTAGGGGATTCAAATCCGTTTCTTTGGATTAACGTACATGTTTTAACAATTCGTATACACACAAAAATTCTGTATAGTTTAATTTAATTTATTTAAATTCGTTTTTACAAACCAGTAACAATCTTCTTCAAAATATTTTCAAGGTAAACCCTTCTTAAACCTCTTTCGTCTGACACAGATATAGTGATACATATTATGCTTGAAATACAATACCGGCGAACGGCAAACTTCGCCGAATTGGGCGATGCTATCGTTCACCGTTCGCCCAGCTATTTCGCCTACTTAAACAGAATTAGAGCGGTAGCGAAAACAGCTGATCCCATTTGGTCGCCTTTATAATTTGGGTGACCATATTTAGAAAAAACTAAACCATATTTAGAAATGAGGAAATGATAACAAATATAAATGTAAAACAAAGAAAGATTATTATAAATAATTTGTTTCAAGCCAGATTTAACGAATCCACAACTATATTTTTCAAACAACAAAAAAAAATCGTCTTTAGGTTGTTTTCTTTTAAAACTTTGAAAGCAAAAAACAAATACGGCCACCTTTGGCACGCACAGCTGTCATCGCCCAGCAGGGCGATAGAAATAAATCTATCGCCATGAAACGCCGCCAAGCGAACTTCGCATTTCGCTTTGGCTGTGTTCAATTTCATATGCTTGCGGGTGTTCTAATTTTGACAGCGCGAATTTCGCTGTGGTGAGTTCGCCGTTCGCCGGCATTGTATTTCAGCTATTACCCCTAATTCAAGTTTAGTTTAATTTAACTTTCTAAACTGCTTGCAACCCTCCTACGTGCAGTTTAGAAGTAAAGCCTTTTCAAAACCATTCCGATTGATATTCATAATGTAGTAATTTTTGTAACTTATTGAATAATTTGAATATAATATATCAAAAAAAAAATCTTACTAAGATACAGATTTTCATTTAAAACCGTCCATAATTCTATTTTTTGCCACATTTTATATGGAAGGGAAAACCTGTGGGGCGTCGTTTTACGATTTTGTATGGAAAACAATAACACAACGGATATTACGACTACTAAAAATTACAAAATGTTGATGTGAACATTTTGGAACTTATCTTGGAACGAACTGTGAACACTCCAATTCTGTAGGAGTGAAGTCTCAGTTCTATTGGAGTTTCGAAAACCACTTATTTATGTCATAAGTTCACTCTACATTCATATTTTGAACATAAGAAAGATTCAGTAAAACCACGTTTAACTCTATGCTGACATTGTAAACCCTCCTTTATGTTCGTACGTATGTATAAATACACATAATACGATTATTATATGTACATACATCCATATGCGTATTCACATACAATATACATACATAAGTATTTAACTAATTGGGTTTTGCTTTGAAGTGCTATTTTAGGAATCATACATACGTATATTAAATTGTGATTAATGGCATATGAAGTCCAAGTGCAATATGTAGTACCTACACATACATACCTATATATAATATCGTCGCCCAAACGTCAGAAACATGAATATGTAAAAAAGCGTCGTAAAAATGAAAATTTTTGGGAAATCAGGTTTGAAAGTTTTTTTTTTACGAGACTTAACTCTACATTTATGCAATTCAAATTGTAAAATATATGGTTTCCGGTCACGCATGATATTCTGGGTTTTGGTATAACATCCAAAGCTTAATAAAGTCAACCCAATAACTCAAAACTGATAAATTTGCACATTTATGCTTCTGGCATAAGGGTGACGATATCCTTTGTAAGGTTTCATGATAAATTTTGTATGTACTAATAATCCGAATTGTTATTTTTTATGTTTGACTACATTCAATATTTAGTTTTTCATTGGGCAATAATCTAGACTGTATGTTTCTATGTATGATTACTCGATTTACAAATTTGATTAATATTAGGTATACATGCAAATACGAAAATTCTTATAAAAGACATTTGATAAAAAATACGGTCATATGGGATTTTTCTTGAACTTTTTCATATTTCAATTTAAATACTTCACTTATAGTTTAAAGGCTTAAGTTTAAATAAAAGTCTTCATAATAAGTAGTAAAATATTAAAGTAATTTTTTAATAAATATCTAAGTCTAATTCATTAATTTTTATATTCGTGTTATATTGATTGTTTCATTTAATGATTCCCTCCTCAGCAATTGTTTTGTGTCATTCTCAATCTCCATTGGCGATATGCCAGAGCTTCGATCGTTTATGTACGTATTATCCTCCTCCACAATTTTTTCGAGCACTATATCACCGGTATTGGCTAAACCTATCGAAAGAAAATGGAATGCAACAAAATATTTAAGTACGACTTAAGAATTAATACTTTCTAATACTATTAGCACACTAACAGTTGTGTCCTGTCAACGGACCATTTGCTACTTCTTCCGCCGACGTACTGTTGACTAGTGCAACATCAGTGGCAGCTCCATTGCGCAAGTTCTTTTGTAGTGCCACAGCTTTGCGTGCATGACGCGTGGTAAGAACACCCGTTTCTACATCACGTTCCAGACGATGGCCAGATCTTGATCTGGTTAATTGCCTTTGCACATAGTCTTCGAGATCTTCTTCCTCTTTGCGACTAATTAGGCAATTCAGTGCAAGCAAGAATAGTCCCAACCCAAGCGAAAATAGTCCAGTGCATGTAACCTCGTTCCACCAGGCCGAACTTGAGCCTAGAATAGAATTAATATTTAAGACTATGTAGTAGAGTGGTTCATAAAACCACTATTTTTGGAAATTCATAAACGCTACATCAGAATATTGTTATTTGTGATAAAAAAAAGAGATACGTATTTTTTTTTTTTTGAAAAAAAGTTTTTTTAGAGGTCGCGCTGGTCAGTTTTTCATAAAAACGCTGAAACGCAGCTAAAATGTGGTTTTTACATATAATTACTCTGGCATTATTGAGGAGCATTCCCTTAATTACACACCTATCTTGGACAGTTAAAATGGGACTAGTAAAATCAAAACGTTGATACTGAACGATTTGCGCATTGTTATGGGCTGGAGCTTGTTACCAGGGGGTTTCTGGGTTTTGCTTATTAGGAATCTAAAGTCACTTTTTCAAAATTAAAAACGGCGGATCCAAAATGGCGATCCATTTTTTTTTTAATGATTGGATTTGTTCGAAAACCGGTACTCGATAGTTTTTGGGGTCGCCGATTACGAACCTGAAGTAAATTTTGTTTACTTCAAAATGGCGGATCCAGTATGGCTATCAAATTAAAAAAAAAAATACTAAAATTAAAACGTGGATACTGAACGCTTTAAGCATTGTCAAGGGCTGAAACTCGGCATTAGGCCCATTCTAACTACCCAAGACAGGTATGTAATTAAGGGAATGTTCCCCAATAATACGAGAGTAATTATATGTAAAAATCACATTTTTAGCTGCATTTTAACATGTCAAGAAAATAAAAAAATGGGGAACATCAGCGTTTTTATAAAAAGCCGACCAGCGCTTAAAGGTCACTTTTTTTCAAAATAAAAAAACACGTTTCTCTTTTTTTATAACAAGGGACTGCAAATGCTTTTCCCAGTGTATTTAATGTCATTTTAACCGACTTCCAAAAAAGTAGGAGGTTATCAGTTCGCCGGAATATTCTTTTTTATGTACCACGTCAACCAATTACGATAATTCTTTTTGTATCGGGAAGGTAGTGTCTCAGAGGTGGTCTCATACTAATCTGGTTTAGATCTGATCATTGGATCATGAAATATATATATACATTTTTTTTTATATGAGAATTGAAGTTGGTTTGGTTTTTTTTTGGTAAAAATTATTGGTTGCTTTTTCGTTTTCTTCTTCTTTTATACGCGTATTTTGTTTTTGTGGTTTGCTTGGACAATTTCTCGTGAAATGACCCGGCTTGTCGCACCGATAGAAGTTTTTTCCTTGTTTCGAATTCCCCGAATTCCGACCAACCTACGATTGATTTAGCCTTTTCTTTGTGTAAAGCACATTATAGTCCACTTTGTCCTTTTTTGATTTTCCCGACTCATATTCTTCGAGGATTTTCACGCGCTTCGGCAAATCGTATCGCGTTTTCACCGCTCATACGACGCTGGCAGACTATTCAACAACAAGATTGCTAGCAGCTCGTCGCCAACTTAAACGTTTCTACCGCTTTTCTATCTGGCCCTTTGGATTGGAATGTCGATTCCAATCTTAACCGAATTTCACGTGGACTGCTGCATTTTGAAATTATCCCTAGCTCTGTTGTTGCTATCGCGAACGTATGTCCGCTAATACCTTTTGATCAGCAATTTTCCACTCGATGAGTATTGCCTCATCCGTAGGCTTCGCGATAGAGCCATCTACGTAGCTCCCCAGATCAGTTTTGATAAACTGATAAACTTCACTTTATTTTTCACCGTTCACAGTCTCTCGGGCGCTGGGGCATAACCTAAAGTTCCGAGGGTTTTGAATGTTACTTAACGACTGACTTTATTCAATACGAACAAACGTTTACAAAGAATGAATGATGAAAGAACACAATTGATAATTATCCGTTTGAATTTTCTGACAGTTTTGATAATATATAATGAAAGTCAAACAGTGAGGCATCGGGTGCACCCCCTGATCGTCACTGGTTGTAAAATTGTTTAAAACTATGGAAACTTCGATGGTTCCGGGTGCACCAAGGAGTGGTAAAAAAAGATTATTTTGCATCCGGTTTATTCAGCTCACGAACTCTGGTGTTTACATCAGCCGAACATCCATTTGTAAGCGAGCTAATGTGAGAAGCCAAACCTCCCCAGTAATGGTTTGTACGCTGCCCTTGGGACCCGCCACGTAAAAAAACGCCAATGAATAGTCCAAATGAGACCCCTTTTGGGGTGACGACGCCTGCAAACGTTTTAAGGACTAAGATTTGGGGCCTTGGACCGGGCAAAGTAGGAAAACAACAGGGCCCTCCGACGTCTATTACAGCTTCCTTTTAAAGGAGGGAAAATTCGGTGTCGGAATTAAGGCTGGACCCAAAATATTTTAGTTTCTATCACCAGTTTCCAGCATAAGAAGCTCCACCAAGCTACGTGGTTGTCACTGGTTTGAAACAAGAAAATCTAAATTATGATATTGGGATGGACGTAAGGCACGTTTCAACTGTGTTAAATAAAATACGTATGATTCGAAAACCAAATTTCGAATCGGATGTTGTGATAGACAGAAGGAATGATTCCACTGTTTTAAATGTAAATTCGCCGAGGACCTAACATCGATTCGGCTGGCAAGATACGCATACGCATCTGTGCATCAAATAACGTGCGTATTAATGTACAAGGAAAGCCCGACGTTGAGGAACTGTAACTGTAACGGCAGCCAAAAGATGCGCTGGGACTCTTAGAGACCACTAATCAATCGTTTATCGTTCCCCACATACCGCCGCTGAAGATCTGATTGGGCCTTATCAGTGCGGCTTTAGGACAGGTATTCTCTATAAGCAAAATATTAGAAAAGACCTGCGAGATTACGGTCGACTCACACCATCTTTTTGTGGATATCAAAACAGCATGAACAGAACGAAGAGTATTTAGTTGCCTTTATGCCGTGTGAGTTTTTTAATCTGATGTTAAAGAAGATAATAAGAACGAAGTATCTCCCTGGCATCTAACAAACTGTCAGCGCTAACTACCATCCCTAAATTGGCGCGTCAAGCGCCAAGGAACTGTGAAAGATCCTCATGCCTATAAAATTTGTATGGAGCATCCCACAATAACGCGGCGCTAGCCGGAATTTAATTTTTGACAGGGCGTTACGTGTTGAAGTTGGATCCAGAAGATGGAAATAAAGAGAAAGTATAAGGAATTTAGAGAGGAAACGAGAATAAAAAGGAGAGGAAATGAGAAAACGTCAAAAATTATGGCGCGTTGGTTTGGGTATTGTGCGCGCTGGCACTCCTTGGCATTGGAAAACGCAACGCTCAGCGCTCCAGTTTAACCCTTTCGACCCGGATGGTACATATATGTACCACCAAAGTTTAAACATCCCTAAAACTTGTAATTTACATTTAATCACATTTGGAAATGTACCACGCCGTATGTTAGGAATTNGTAGAGTTCCGGGTCGAAAGGGTTAAGGATGGCAGTAAAGCGTCGCGACACACACGTCACCGTTGACAGCTATAATTTCGAAGAAGGAGTCAGCATTACCATTGATGAGCCTCAGAGCGATTTACACACAGTGCAACAGATTAAATTACAGGGTCCCGATGGCTCGGCCGTGTCGTACGAGTAAAAAAACGCACCATCTCTGAAAGTATATAGCGCGAATCACGCTGGTGGTAGCAGAGGAAGAGTAAAGCCTCCTCTGGAGATTCAATCGGTGTTTCTAATTGGCGGCAGCTAACGATAATGGAAAACGAGAGGCGTTCTATGATAAACTCCACCAAAACCACTTAAGCAGTTATAGCCCTAATCCAAAAGAAGACGTGCGCTTGATATTGATAGCAGCCAAATTGAAAACCAAAACAGCTCATACTTACTGAACACATTCCAAGACATTGTTTCGTCGGGTATAATGCCAGCACCGCATAAGAATACTCCAAATACTATGAATACAATACCAATGTGAAGCATTCCGATGCTTGTGACAACCTGTAATCAAATAAACGCTGAATTCAGCTGCTGCTGATACATATGTTTCTATGTATTATGGTAATTTGTATCATTTACCTGACTATCAAGCATGCCTGGTCCAGGTTTAGCAACGCTATGTGCATGGTGAAACTTACGGCGAAATGAACCACTTGGTGAATGGAACGTTTCAGCACTCTCCGAACTCTGCGTACTGTAGCGTCTTTCTCGCGCACGTTTCTGTTCATCACGTCGTTTTCGTTGACGTTTTATTGCCATCGCCGAATGGATTCCCACCGAATGCATTTTGCTAAAAGTAAAATAAATACCACAGATGTTATCTTTAAAATGATAGTATTGGCAAATAAGTAAACGAATGAATTGTTATAGAAATAAACCCCAAAATCGGTAAAGGAAGACTATGCTCGGCAACAGTATCAACTCCTCCGATATCTGCATATCAGCATGTGAAACCATTCATAGATTTTTTGGACAGAGAATTAGGTCGGATATGAAATGAGCGTAAAGCAAATTTTATTTCAATATTAGATTCTTTCTCTGCGAAATAAAGATTGCATCAAATTCTTTAATTGTATGAAAACGTGCAAGAACTATTTTAACTGACAATTCATACTGGTCCGTCTTTTCCCAGTTATATATGGAAGCAGGGCGATTGGGTCTAGAGATGAACAAGGACAAGGTGAAGTATCACCTATTAGCAAGCAAATAGTCAGCGAATTTGTGCCTCGGAAATTATATCAGTTGACAGTTATAATTTCTTTTATTTGGGAACCAGCATCAACACCACCAGATTACATTGAGCCCAAACGACTGGAGTGGTTCATACTTGGAACACTTTGAAAACGACGGACCACAGGTCACGTCCAATTAATTGAACAGGTGCTCTTATGTATGTATATACATAGAAAATTATTTTGAAGACGAGAGGGCTACTCCGCGACTGGCTCAAAATGTAGCTATGGCGAGATAAGATCTACATATTTTTATTGAGCGACAGATTACTTTTCTTGCTTTATGTTAAACGCAGATCAATTATGTAAGTCGTTTAAATGGTTACAGGCCAAAAAAGATGACAAGAAAAATGTAAAATTAAGATAATAAGATCAAATTTGCAATAAAAAATTGGAAATTAGTTATTATCTACTGGAATCTTATTTCCTCTTACTTTTGCTTCGCAGAGTTATATTACCTTTACATTGAGCCCACATTCGTCATTTTGCGAGTCTCCTGAAGAGAAAGAGAGTTTTCCGATCGAAAAATATTGATTTTCAATAATTCTATACCATTTCTACGAAAACGTGTTTTTCTCCATATAATATATATGGAAAACTTAATGGGCTTTGAGGCAATTCTAAATATATATTTTTTTTTACAAACAAAAACAACACGGGTATTATTTTTATGCATATAGAAAAATCCTAGGGCATGAGAGCTTAAAATTTTTTCTCCACGCATGTATTTTTGGACCAACTTAATGTGCATACATATCGTCGGTGCAAATGATAAAAAAAAAATATGTAAACAAAAGTCACAATGTATTTAACCGAATTACCAGTTCAAAAAGCTTTCCTGTATTTTTTGGTGTTACCCTCTTGCAATTTTGCGTCTTGGCAGACAAGTCTGGGAACGCAACTGTTATTTATGCATATGAGCAACTTTCACTAGCTGTTACATATTTCGACAAAAACGTGTTCTTGGTCGAAAATGCATCCATTTTCCTCTCTTGTTCTCTTAGAAAATGCATTATCTTAATTTTTGTATAAAGAACAAGATTCCAACACGAAATTGTACTAAAAACCAGGTTTTGGGTGAGCCTATTCCCTTTTTGGCCATGCAGTTCTATATATTTTTCCCGTTTTTCATTATAAGTTTTCCCGTTTGTTTTCCTTTTTAATATAAATTTAATAATAATTTAATAAATACAAATCAATTTTTCTCCGTGTTTTATTTTTTATACGATCAATAACCGTATTTTAACAACTCAGTCAATAGCCATAACAATTCAATTAACATGTAATATTGTTAATATAAAAATATTACTTTTAAACATACATATATTGCATCTACTTATGCGTTATTTGTACATATCATTCGTGTGCGATTATGATGCTATTTTTCTATCACTGAACACTAAGGGTATTCATCAAATCTTATAAATGCATTGTAAATCGTATAAACTTATAATTGTGTAAACCTTATAAATGAACTGTCAAAATTTGTATGGAAACTCGTTTACACATTTCTGATAAATTTATCCAGCGATTTCACTGAATAAACTTGATAAACTGAAGACAATGCAACTCTGTCGCAACTCTAGCTATGTTTTCTTAGGCAATAATCGGGATCCGCATACAAATTTTGCACGCAAATTCAACAACGATATGATCCTGATAGAGATCTGGTTCAATTATTATCCCGTCTGTTTGTTTTGTTTCACTGATAATTCGCAAAGTTTGGTAGCCGTGACAAATGAATTCATACACAAACAGACATTCTGCCATTGTTTCTTATAACTTGCTTCAAATAAATAGCCTTTATGTTATATGTACATTTATTTAAATAGATATCTCGTAAATATAATTTTTTCCAATTTAGTGAGGTAGTTTCTATAATTTTTTTATCCCCGTGCTAGTAGTATAAAGTTAGTGACACTGCGCTTTATAAGCAAAGAAAACACGACTATTGTCGCATGTGTAAACGAAAAGAGAGTGTGGTGGGTCGTTCATGTAACAGAGTGCATAAACTTATAAAATTATCTGCTTGATAAAGTTATCGGTTTAGATGAATACCACTACTGTTTTCAACAGCACTGATAAGTGATCAAATGCAGAAAAAACATTATTGTGCTCCGCCGCAAACGCACACACCTTTATCTCTGCATTTTTAGCTTGATGTGCTACCGAACCATTGGTGAACTGCGAAATTTTCAGCTTGCGATTAGTTATCATGAATTTACTTATACTCTTGCACATGCTTTTGCGTTTTTGCATGTTTTTGCAATTAAGATTTCTTAGGAAGAAGGCTTACTGCACATCCCAATCCAGAAAATAAAGGTCGCGCCCATGATTCAATAATACAAGGTTCGATAAACCTGACAGTTATCTCTCTCGCACCGCTCCCTTAGCAGCAGTGTTGCCGTTTTAGCCCTTTGGTGGCTAAATTTGGCTACCAAATTCTTTTTTTGGCCACAAAAATTTGAAATTGCCCCTAGCCCTTTTTTTAGCCCTTTTCAAAATTTATTCATCATTGACATTAAACTTTTTTATATGATTTTCATGAATTTAACTCTTCGCTTATAAAGCGAACGCCTTTCCTTTAAGGCAAATAAACTGTTCATTGTGTCGCTAGCTTAAGTGGTGGAAAAAGTTTGTTTATCGGTTGCTTCTTTTACCTTTAAGTAACGCAGAAGTTGAAAGGACGTTTTCTATAATAAATTTCGTTAAAAATAAGCACAGAAATAAAATGAATTTTGCAATGTTAAACGCTTTATTAACTGTAAGATATGGCTTAAAAAATGTACAGAAATGTTGTCATGATTTTGATTTTACAGATGATATCGTCAGGTTAATGAGAAATGAACAAAATTGTAACGACGAAGAATCGCTTAGCGATGATAGTATTGATATAGATATAAATATTTAATGTGTTAAAAAAAATGTTTATAGATTAAATTATTTTACTATGAGTTCATTAAATGAATACTCTTTTGTTTGTTTGATACATACAGCGTCGGACAATAATAAAGCATCGACATTTTAATTCTTTGTAAATTATAACATAACATTTTAAAAATTTCTTTTACAAATGGATATTTTTCGAAGCATAGTTTGAAATTATTTAAGTTATTTAGTATTGTCCGACACTGTATATAGATATGATTCTAGTACTTATGTATTCTTAATGTGATCTAATTTTTTTGTTTATGTAATAAATTAATTAATTAATAACATATGTATATGTATGTTTTTTACGTTTCTGGGCCGTTATCTTATCCATTAACGATTTAACTATACTTTAAAATAGGTAAGTTGGCGGCCCTTAATATGCTTTATGTGTTACACAACAAGTTTTTTTGTTGAATAAAATATTAATTCTTTCCAGAGTTCATTGTTTTTCTATATCATTACTTATAGAAAATGTTTGCGTGTATACTTATATATTTATATGTAGGTAAAAAAATTGAGCTACCATTTTTAGCCACAACGACGATTTTTAGCTCTTTTTTAGCCCTTTTTTAGCCTGAATTTAGCTACCGCTAAAAATGTTTCGCGGCAACACTGCTTAGCAGTGGCACCGTGTGGCTTCTTTGCAAGCTTACTTGGAAAAAGTGTAGCTTTGGTGTGAAATAGAAGTATAAGATTTGTGCAATATGTTTATTTGTATATACATATGAAGCACATTTAACTGATGAAAACATAAACTTTTTTTATATTGGATGTTTACATACAACTCGCAGTAGTGTTATATTAATTTTGAGCCCTTTTGCAGTTTTTATACAGCTAAATAGCATATAAATTACGTAATTCACGTAGATATTGTAATATTACGTTCAATATTTCGTTTAAAATGCCAGATTTCCTGCAAATACATTAGAATTTACAAAAGGAATTTCACTACTAATTGCCTACGTTGCGTACTTTCCTTTCCTCCGTCCTTCGTAAATGCAACCTTTTGTAAGGGAGTGTCAAATCGCGGCTGTCAATAATTATCTAACCTTGTATTATTGAATCATGGGTCGCGCCATTCGCGGACCGTTGTTGTTTCGTTGTTTTGACAGCATCCACCCAATCGTGGACGTCATACAATACTTTTGTTTACATTCACTATTGTCAACCTGATGCTCTTCGCACCAAATTTAGTGGGTATACAAAACGCGAAAACTTTTGAGTCTGGTGCTTGGTGCGTTTTTTGTGCTTTTGTTTTTAGTTTGAAGACACCAAATTTGAAAATCTTAAAAAAAATGGAAGCAAAATTTATAGCAATTGCTTACCACACTAAGCAACTTTACAAAAATTTAAACAAAATCATGTCACAGTGACAATCATAAGCGACAACAAAATATGTGGAAGCACCTTCAATCATCACAGTCGAAACCGACCCCCGTGCAGGAAACATTGATTTCTATTAATTTGAATCGGCATTCTTACATTAAAATTATGTATGCATATAAAGTCCATAAAATACACCAATAAAAATTTGGTGCTTTTTCAAATTAAAAACTTGGCAATTCTGACTTTTGTTCGATGCTTCCTCTTTTTGTTGTCGAGTTCGTCTTGCTCTCTCATTCCGGTATTTGTTGACGTCACGGCCAATTGCTCTCAGCTCGATTGGCGCAATCTTGTATTCCATAATTCTGTGCAGTCATATTGTGTAATATGCTCGAGTTTGATTGGAGGTGGATGCTGACGGACGAGATTCTTCGCGTAACTAAACTTTAAATTCCATACAGCTTTCCCATGAATGTATCGCCCACTATTTTAGCCTAATAGTATTGTAATATTTATGGGAATGGCGTATGTGATTTTCCCCGTTTTCACGACCATTATTACAGTCATCCCTTTTTTGTTCAAAATTCCCGCAAAACGGGAGAAATTTCTCTTCTGGCAACGCTATGTATAGTAGTTGCGTATGTAACGTATACGCTCTGTGGCACCATGCATATACATCTAAACCAGAGGCGGGCATTTTTTTTATTTTCCAAACACATCCCTACAAGACGCGACTACCAGAAATTCAATCAAATTTTTTAATAGGAATGTAAATCATAATGAGACTATCGATGTTTGAAGAATCGATATTTCAAAAAATTACATCGATTGAAAGTTGAATGTATCGAATTAAAACATCGATGTTTTTATGATGTTTTTAGGAAAGCTTGCTGATTTTTTTAAATATTGCACACAATTTTAAATTGGACTTATATATGTACTTAGTTTTTTTAAAAGAATGAACTAAATTTTTATAAAAAAATAAAACTTAATACGAAAAATTTAATGTTAAAACTTGTCAATATGTGTGGTTTGGCAAATTGGGTAATGAAGCTAAGCAATTTTACAATTTAATTAATCTTAAAGCAATTAAACTTTTTTTACTTACAGACGTATATGCATATATTAATAAGAATTCACGAATTTATTAAAGGAACTTACTGGGGCATGATTCCCAGGAAATACTCATTTATCAAACGCTCGCTAAACATTTCCTCTAGTGCTCCCTCATGTTCTTGTGATCAATTGTGAGGAAACGCGCCCACTTGTTTCTGATGTAGTGGCGAATAGTTTAGATTTTCAGGACGAAACTAGTAGTGACACTTCAGAAGAATTCGTAAATGATACTAATGACTCCCGATCAGTTAATAGTGATAAATGTAGTGAACTAAAAGCTTGGGCCATAAGAAATAATATACCCCAAAACGCCCTAAGCGATTTGCTGCAAACCTTGATTAAAATAGGTATTAAAGATATACCTATGTCAGCTAAAACGCTTTTAGGAACATGTCGAGAGAAAGTTCAAATAAAATCAATTCCGGGAGGTGAATTCGTTTATTTAGGTATTCAAACACATTTTAAATCAAGTTCTTTTAGCTTCTTAGAATCAGTATCGGAAATATTAATAGATGTAGGAATCGACGGGCTTAAATTGTTTGATAGTTCAAACCGAATTTTATGGCAAATACTTGGAGCGATAGTTTGATTTCCAAAGCAGAGCCCATTTACGATTGTTTGTTTTTCAGGAATGAGTAAGCCAAAAAGTGTAAACGAATTTTTAAAAGAATTTTGTGAAGAGGTCGTTTTTTAAGAGAAGAAGGATTAAAAGTTGGCTCAAGCTCCATTCCAAAAAAGTTTAATGTTCGCGTATTCACATGTGACTCTCCGGCCAGGTCTTTTGTAACAGGTACACAATACTTCAATAGCAAAAATGGATGTCCAAAATGCTGCCAACAAGGCAAATATATCCAAAACAGAGTTTGTTTTTCTAAAGAGATCCATAATTTAAGAACAGACACAGCGTTTCTTATCTCATCATAGTGTAGAAATAATTGTAGTATTTTAGAGCTTTCTAAATTCGGGATGGTTTCCCAGTTCCCACTGGATGTGATGCACCTGGTCGATTTAGGTGTGATGAAGAAGTGACTTCCATTGCTAATAAATAAAGAAAATGTTGTAGAAATGAATTCGAAAATTAATTTTCTAAGCAATTTTGTACCAACAGAATTAGGCAGAATTTCCAGAAATTTTAATGAAATTAGTAATTGGAAAGCGACCGAGTTTAGGCAATTTTTGCTGTATACTGGGATTTTCGTATTAAAAGACTGTGTTGAAAGTGATCGATATTATCACTTTTTGCTGCTTCATTGTGGGGTTCGACTACTAACAAACGAAAAGTCGTACAGAATTGAAGCGGATATTGCCCAGAACATATTACAGGAATTCGTCCACTACTTTGGAAATATTTATGGTGACCACTTGGTCAGTTTTAATGTTCATGGGCTATTAAATTTATCACACTGCGCAAAACAATATGGCCCACTCGATAGTTGCTCTGCATATCGATTTGAGAACTATATGCAATATTTAAAAAAAATTAATTAGGAAACCGAATAAAATTTTGCAGCAGCTACATTTAAGGCTGAAAGAAAGGCAGGCAGACAATTTAAATTGTTTCAAGGAATCAAAAATAGGCTCATTCAGTATAGACCCAAAAAAAGAAAAGGATTCTTTCTGTTTTAGTAAAAAACTAGGAGCCTTAAAGGTAATTTCCACCGAAAAGAAGTCTGACACTGAAGTATACACATGTTTAGTATTTAATAAAACAGAAAATTTTTTTACTGTCCCACTTGAATCCTCGCTTGGACTAGGCATACTGTTAAGTAGCGAAATTAGCTCCGAAAGTGTTTCAGTCAACAAAGAAGATATAATATATAAATTCTTTTGTATTCCTCATCAAACAAAGTTTATTCTGATACCTCTTTTACATAACCTTTTTAATGATTTTTCAAATTAATAACGCATTCCGTTTGCATATAAATGTATACAAGTATATAATATTAAAAATTTTAACAAATAAAGCTACATATATAGTACACAAATAATGGATTCTGTAAATAATATTTTTGAGCCTTCTGTGATGTCAACTCCCAAAGGAGAAGGTAAGAGATAAATTTACTAGCGTTTCTTCTTTAATGTACTTGTTCCTTACAGACCAGCGCATTGTCCAAAAGAGGTGGCAAACGTGCAACTCATATAACGACTCACAGGGCCCTTCCACATCTAAAAGACCACACACTGAGAAAAATGGTATACAATGAATTTTTTTATTTAAAGCTGTTCATGATTTTGTGGAAATAGTATTGGATTTGCAGTTGGAACTGCATTTGCATAGTTTATACTTGCCACCATACCAACCGCATTTTATTGTTGTGAATTTACAAATGCACCGAAATATGCAAATGCAAGATTAATTAACGAATTGAATTAACGAACAAGATTTTTCATGAAGAACATTGTAAATATTCTTCAAATGTGGATATCATTTCAGAAGTGCTTAAACTGCTAACAAATATTTGTCAAAAACTTAATGCAGTGGAGGAACGTATGGGTAAAATGGAAACAAAGATTATGACCATAGAGAAGATACTTGCTACAAACGTAAATATACTATACTCATGGACAAAAGTGTTAGGCACCGGTACTTTTTAAAATTTTTCCGAAGTTTTGCATGTCCAATTTTTTTAAATTAATTTTTTTCAAATAAAATTCTATTCATTCTCTAACCAAAACCACTTAAATAAATGTTTCAAGCCTTTTTCAAGTTTATAAGAATTTAACAAAAACTGTAATTTATGCCTTTAGAACTTGCACAATTACTAAATTGAAAAGGGCTACAAAACTGCATACTCGAAAATTTTCTAAAAATTCCGATTAAAAAGTTTTGTCCATGACATTATATCCGAATAATTAAAATAGATAAATATTAAAACTATTAAAGTTATCTCTTTATCTTAATAGATTGTGGAACGGAGTGACATGTTGGCCCAAAACCAACTTATTAGGGAATGTAAAGTGATGCTGAAAAAGGTTCAGCAGTCGGTTTGTTATATGACCGGAGAAACTGAGGACGAAAACATTCGCGAAATTTCTTCTCTACTCCATCTCAATTCTAAGGAAACTTCGATTCAAATGGAAGCAAAAATTAGTAACGCCGAATATAGACAGGCACTGGTAATTTATTTCACGCTAATATATGTTCATATTTAATGCTCTTTATTTATTATTCGAATTAGTCAACCTATATTTATAAATTGAAGGGGCCGTCGGGATGCCTAAACGACGTGATTCGTAAGTTGTTTACGGATGAGTTTTTGCAACACTACAATTGGGACGGGCGATGGGAGAGGGAATCGTTAGCGCAAATGAAATTAGTTGACGAAATTTTATTTGGTAATTAGTATTTATTTAATTTTCAAAGTTACTTGATTAACTATCATCTTTAATTCTTTTCAGGCGTATTTAAATCTGAAGGATGATTACCTTTCGAAAAAAGGGTAAAAAAGTCTATTGACTTAGCTCACAACCGGCTGAAGCAAAAAATCCGACTAACGGAACAAAAACAAAAATAACTTCAATTTTATTTTATTAACCATACTACTTTCATATTTAGTATAGTAAGTTCAGAAAGTAAGCTATCGCATAACATTACATTTCATTTAACGTAAAGCATACAGTTACTCCCAAAATGAGCGTACGGATCTTTTTTGTTAATTTCGCAATGTTTTACATGGTAAATTTTTTTTTTGTTAATTTTGTTTTAAAATATGGCTTATGTTTCAGCAAATCCCATTTAAATCCAAGAATGGTAGTGTGTACAAAAATTAAGAAAAATGTGGGAAGTTTCATCAAATTCGCGAACTTTTTAATACGAATTTCTAAAGAGATTCCAGGTATGCAGTTTTATAGGCCATTAAATTTTAGTATAATAATGTGGAAATTTTTTTGGTTAATTGGTTAAATAATTTGCAAAGATATATGATGGTAGTCAAAACCCAATATATTCGTTAGACTTAACTAATTTTTACATTTTTAATTTTTTTACTTTTAAGATTTCTGGTAGTCCTAACAAACATATACCAGAAGTCTAACCAATATTTATGGTAGGCCTAACTGACATATACCAGAAGTCTAACCAATATTTATGGTAGGGCTAACTGACATATACCAGAAGTGTATCTATGATTTGCGGTAGGCCTAACAGATATATACCAGAAGTTTATCTAGGATTTGTGGTAGACCTAACAGATACATACCAAAAGGCTAACCAGAATTCGTGGAAGCCTTAACAATCATATACCAGAAGTATACCTAAGACTTCTGGTAGGCCTTACAAATATATACCAGAACTATACCTAAGACTTCTGGTAGGCCTTACAAACATATACTAGAAGTATACCTAAGACTTCTGGTAGGACTTACAAACATATACCAGAACTATACCTAAGACTTATGGTAGGTCTTACAAACATATACCAGAACTATACCTCAGACTTCTGGTAGGCCTTACAAACATATACCAGAACTATACCTAAGATTTCTAGAAGGCCTTACAAACATATACCAGAAGTATACCTAAGACTTCTGGTAGGCCTAAGAAACATATACCAGAAGTATACCTAAGACTTCCGGTAGGCCTGGCAGCCATATACCAGAAGTATATGTAAGAATTCTGGTATGCCGAACAGTATATCTAACACTTCTGGTACGCCTAACAGACCTATACCTGAAATAAATCTAAGACTTCTGGTATGCCAAAGGGATATATACGAGAAGGCTAACATAAATGTCCATTAGTAGTTTTAGGTATTTCATCATGTAATTACCTGTTAGTCCTAACGCGTGTGAGCGGTCAAGGTATATGTTTACAAATGGAGGTAAGCGCAAGAGCTAGAAAGGGATGCAAACTCTCACGTACACAAGAGTTTCTGGTAGTTTTTTCCAATCAGCATTAAGAAGCTAATAGAAACTCGTCTTTAGAGGCTACCTAAAATTTCTATAAACGAACTACCTAATATATCTGTGAAACATTAAGTGATTTAACTGCAGGGATGTAATCGGCCTTCAAAATGTTGCTTGCTGCGACGTCGACACATGTATACTATCATCGTCTTCGTGCGTCTTACGATAATTGACGCTTGACTGATGCTTCGCGGGTATTTCGGCAAAGCAAATCAAATCAGTTGCTGTTGAGAGTGCTCGGATGCTAAGTTTTCTTAGTGGTAAATAAACATGAAAAATTGTGGTACATTCCATAATAATGTGGTAGATTCAAATAAATAAATTTATAAATATGTTATATGCGACATTTATAAGTGACATTTTGACCAGTTTTGGCTATTTATATTTTTGTTTATTTAATGCTTATATTTTTTTTTTGCTGACGGTGCTAGGCATTTTCTTCCTTATAAAAGAAATTTCCAATCATTAAAAATCAACACGATTTCCTAGCGCTTGAAATTTGCACTTTAAATGGGCTATAAAACTGCATACCTAAAACTTTTCTAGAAATTTTAAATTAAAAGCCAAAGCGACGGAATAAGATGCTTTTTTTTTATACATTATCTATCGTTTTCTGATAGAGAATCATTTTCTGATAGACATTGATAATCTTCGTGTTGATGTATATTACTTTCACCAACCATACAATTAATAAAGAAAGCTACTTTTAATTCTAAAAGCTTCAGTGCTCGATCACCCTCTTTCACCTTTTCAAAATGACTATGACACATACTACGTATATGCAAATAAAAATAATTTGCAAATACCTAACTCACTGTTTATTCGATGGTGAAACATTCTTTTTTAATATTGCCTGATTATAAAAAGGCAATAAGATGACCATCGAAAAGGAAAATAAAGTTAAAAATGGCAACGTCTTCATTATAAAAAGGCAATAAGATAACCATCGAAAAAGAAAAAAAATTAACCTAAGAATGGCAACGTCTTGCGCTTATTTGCAAATAGTACCACTAATCAATACTTATTTGCGTGATTTGGTTATTTGCAAATAAAAAATTAACTCAGCGTTTATACGGCAAAGTTTACCATTTTGCAAATTGTTATTGGCAAATAATGCGTGCGTATAAACGTAGTAACAGTTTGTAATGACTTTTTAACCAAGGCATAACATTGCGACTCCAAACGCGATAGCAGATCACGCATTGCGCACACCCATCCATGTTTTCTATGCAAAAAAATGTATGTATATGTATCGCGCGATTTTTTATTTAAAATTTTCGACTGCGGCGCTTTTTCCATAAAAATCAATGCTTCGATAAATAATGAAAATTTTTAATAAAAAATCGCGCGATGTGTTGTTACAAATTTTCGCCTGCGGCGCTTTTTCCATAAAAATCAATGCTTCGATAAATAATGAAAATTTTTAATAAAAAATCGCGCGATGTGTTGTTACAAATTTTCGCCTGCGGCGCTTTTCCCATAAAAATCAATACTTCGGTAAATAATTAAGTTAACATTTTTATTACAAAATCTCTCCATTTTAGACTAAATCACTTTTTTTATCAATACATCGATATTTAATTTAAAAAAATTAATTACAATGCCTGTTTTTATTGTTTCTCGTTTTCAGTGCCTTTTTTTTGGCATTTTTTGTTGTGTGGCAGCACCGACATTTTAGTTCAATTGGTTTACAAAGCAAAAAGTGAGGTTGAAGTTGACATTTTTTGCAACTTAAAATTCAATTCTCATCAAAATTATAAGCCTCCGGAGGGTGGGGTTTTCAGATTTGCAATCACAAAAAGCCGCTCTAAACCCCCTAATTTTTTTTTTTTTTGTTTTTTTTAAAGCCGGGTTCCGTATTGGAAAATTTTCCCGTTTCAAGATCTGAAAGTTTTATACATAGCTTACGGTGGTAGAAGTAATAGAAATGTAATTTAGCAAAAAAAGCGTTATCTATTCCTTAAATGTGGTAAACTCCGAGCACTTGCTGGTGAAAAAAACTTCGCTGCTTCGCACACAAGCGCATGTGTGTGATAGTGTGAGTGCCCACCTCTGATCTAAACGTTCCCTGCAGGAAATGTAAATAACTATAAGCTAACTTTAAGTAGATTAGGAAGGAGCTAAAATTAACTTATTATCTGTATATTTTCTTTGGCGAAGGCTAACTATATTTCTATGGCGATGGCCATGCATTAGATGTAGTCAAGGGTGGCTACCTCTGCATTTGATGTAACTAACTTGTAACTAACTAATTTTGGACATAAAATATCAATAGGAAAAACAAATGATTTTTTTTCTTTATTTTATTATTTTTTTATTTTATTTATTTTTTTATTTTTTTTATTTTTATTTACTTTACTCATTTTATTAAATTTCATATTTGTATTCTGCTGTAGGTGGTCCCATATTCGAACTCCGTCAGACATAATTTCAAAATGATAATGTGAAATTTCGATCATCCTTTTATTTGTCCTCATTTCGAAAAAGTATTTGCGAAGTGCAGGATATTTAAATAGAAACGTGTTTAATGAAAACAATCTCCTTCATTACCCCTGCATTACTTCTCAACTAGTTTTAAGCTAGCATTTTTTAGCTAACTACAAGTTATATATTTTATAGAAATCCCGCAAAAAAGCTAACTACAAGTGGGTTATTTTTTATCAATTGATAATTTTTTTCTGCAGGGTTTACTTGCATGCCTTAACTTAAAGGTAAATATATATTAGCGTGGTAGCTTTTTACGCAGTATTCCTTATGCACATTTGAGGCATTCGTTTTCATATCGGACACCAAATATGGTGTCACACTTTCGATTCGCTTTAAATTTTTTTTATGGGTTTATACATGAAATAAGCTAACACGTATTCGAGGATTTTTTTTTCTTCGGAGATATGATCAATCAAAGCATCTTCTAGAAATGGGCGTTTTGAAATAAACCCAAAGTTTAAAAATTTAGATTTTATTGCAGAATATCTATATTTGCGGAACAAATGTTGTTAACGAAGGTATATTCTGCCGAAATCTGCAATAAAATCTGCGTTTTGCTAACTTTACTCCTACGATTGCCACGCCCATTTTAAGGGGTTAGTTGCCTTAAAGAAAAATCTTGCCATACAATGTTATTTCTGTATAGGTATTCTATCGGAATCAGCAATAAAATTAAAATGCTAAATATATCTCATCATAAGTTTTCGAAAACAAATTATAAAAAATTGTTGACTCTCAAAAATTAAACCATCTCATTATAAAAATAGTTCTGGAAAACGCCCATTTTTTAACCATGTTTTTTTATAGAGAATTAAACAAGAATTACGATGGGGTAATTTTAAATCCCTAATTTACTGGTCTTCACTATGCAAATCAACTTCAAAAAGTACAACTGTTAACAGCTAATTAGCTTTAGGACAATCATGACCTTTAGCTTTAAAACGACGTTAAGGTGAATTCTCTACGATGAGCAGTACCCGAGATATAACGATTTAAAAAAGTACATGATTAGTCAGAATCCGGAAGAAATCCAAACATTGACAGATCATATCTCCGAAGAAATAAATTTCCTCGAATACCTAAATAAGCTTATTTCATGCATAGAATTGAAGTGAATCGGAGATATTATATCATTTTTTTACCAAATCCGTCCGACTTAAAAAAGAATGGCTCATATATATTACTTTATCGTTGTTCATATGTACATATAAATTTTAGAATGAATTTCGAGTTTACCAATAAAAATTGTAAAAACGGAATTTAATTAGGTTAGTTTTATAACCGATGTGAGAAATAAGAATCCGATGTGAAAACAACTTCGAGTCAATGCATTTTTGAATTTCTCGGAGTCCTGAAATTGCGTTCATGCCTCCGTTTTTAATCACAGCGAACAGGGTCAAAGCGCTTTATGTGTCGGTATAAACAAGGTAATAGACATCTTTTGCATCTATTACTCCATATTACTTTTTATTAAACTAGATTCGTTCGTTTTGGCAAGAACATTTTCACCATTTAATTTTAACATTTTGAAGTATTTAAAATAATTAGAATTAAAAAATGGTTACGTTTTAAAAATTAAAAAAATAGCAGTGTCAGATACTCTGCATGCTGCCTTTTTTAAATTTGATAAACTTTTGAAACTTAACAAATATGGTGTATTTGATGCCAACGTCCATTACCTCTAATATGAACATTCTATTTGAAAATTTCCCAAAGCTGTTAAAAATAAATAAAAATTTTTTTTTTCCATACAAAACAAGCTATTGAATAGCAGCTTACGGAACGATTGACCAACTCAGCACCACAACCGCTGATTCAGTAACTGGGCCTTACAGACGATGGATCAATGCTTCGAGAAACAAACAAATTTACTAAAGCTCAATTATGCAAGGTTTAGACTTGACTTGACTTGAAAATTGTATAATTGACAAACGAGCAACGCGTGTATGTAGTTACCCAAAACACAACTTCATTTAGAAACTCAGAGAACTATAGATTTTTGATTTCTAATGCTTGAAACACAATACCCGGCGAACGGCAAATTTCGCCCAGCAGAGCGATGCCGACGACCAACTTTCGCCCAGCTAATTCGCTTACTGAAACACAAATAGAGCGGTATCGAGCGGTTTGAATGCTGAAAATACCAGCAAGAAGAAGTTTAAAATATAGAAATAGTCTTTAAATATAACTACTAGTAAACTTACGTTTTACTAGATTAATCTCTGATAGAAAAATATAAGGTATATTATTTTACTTTTAAACAAAAATTACGATAACTTTTAAAGTATGGTCATCATGGCCTTTTTTTGTCGTTGCGGTTGACCGCGGCGATAGAAATAAATCTATCGTCGCGAACAGTCGTCGAGCAAACTTCGTCGTTTGCTTTGATTGTGCGCGTTCTCATATAAATAAGTGTGTTTTAATTATTTCGGCGAACATTCGCGACGAAAAATTTGCCGTTCGCCGGTGTTGTGCTTCAGCTTTAAGTTAAATTTCTAAGTGCAAAGAGAGCCGTGAGAATCATGCTGCCACATCATTTTTTCACATATTTTTAATAAAATTCCTCTAAATATGCCCCACAAATACGAATCGAAAAACAAACTCTCAAATAAAGACAGAAAATAAAATAAAAACAATCACAATTTGATACGCTTGAATACATTAATTTTAATTGTAATTTTTACTGGGGTCAAACAGCGTCATTTTCGGGGTATCCTTATTAGCGATTTTAAAATTCTGAACAAAAAAAGTATTTTATAAAGCATTTTTATAAAGCATAATTTACGGTTCATTCGTAAGTCATAAACAAATCATGCTGAAATCAAGTAATTTTGCCATGTAAAACTTGTCAATAAATACGTAATTCAGGAAAATTCAACCAATTTCAAAATTTTCTATCAAAATTTTAAATTTTTTGATCAAATTTTTTAGAAATTTTTGGGCATGTTTTTTTATGGCCAATTTAATTTCAGTATAATTAAGTGCAAGTTCGAAGTTGTGCGCTTTCTGCGATATAACAAGTAATTTTTAGCAAAAAAAACCGACTTCAAGTCTCATATAAGAAAAAAAATATATATATATATCTCTTGATCCACTGATCGGATCTTAACGAGATTAGTATGGGACTACCTCTGAGACACTACCTTTCCGGTGCAAAAAGAATTATCGAAATCGGTTGACGTGGTCCAAAGTTATGCGGTAACATACATAAAAAAAATAAATAAAAATAAATAAAAAAAATTAAAAAATATACCGACGAACTGATAACCTCCTCCTTTTTTGGAAGTCGGTTAAAAAATACGAGTATTTTAGAACATACGTACATAAGTATTTTGTGTGGATGAAAATGCGAAACGCCTTCAATCAAAAAAATTCTCAAAAACGTTCACTTTTTGTACTGAAATTGAATGAGTAATAAAACTTCATACCCAAACATTTTCTGTCAGCCTGGCAGGGTGAGAAGGTTGAAAAACTTATTTCTGAAGAAGCGTTACTAGCTGAAGTGTGGCCAGAATGCCAAAAACTTTGTTAACTAATGGAAAAGGATATTCGTCGCAGTTACCAATAACTTAACGTTGCACACAGGAGTACATATTTGTATAATAAGACCAGTCAAAATTCAGATTTATCCACTTTAATAAAATTCTCTTTAAAAATTTTATTTCTCAGGCTATATAACCGATCTATCAGTTGGAAGGATTTTTGACTACGGCAAATAGAACATAGCCTTTACGTGATAATTTTTTTTCTGCGCTTTCAATAGCTGTATTTGTTTCTTTCGTTATTATGTGTTGTATGGACCAATCTTAACTTAAAAATATAAGAAAATGAATGCGGAAAAGTGCGCTCGATACTGAAATGCTTTCATCGGACCTGAGTACCGAGATTAACTGAATTATATGTTCTCAAATTTCAGTGCCCTCGGTAAAGGTTTAGAAGGACTATGACACTTTTTTATATGTTTAAGTGTTTTAGTTAATTTAAATTAAGAAAGCATTAAAATTTTAGAAACTGAAAACGCTACAAAATTCGCAATTATTCGTAAATGAGAGCTAATCTGAAAAAAATGGAGAGCATTTCCGGACCGCCGATCTAAATATGCTCTAGAAATATGAATGGCGTTTTTGAATTTTTCTGAAGAAGATTTTTTTTTTAAAACCTCTAACATTCGATAGATAAATATATCACGAAAATGAACCTAAGATAAATGTAATTAGCAGAGGATGTATTTTATGGATTTAGCTTTCCCTGATTCCATATATACTCATTTGATGTTGCCTTTTTTGCCTTTTCTACCTTTAAAAAAGTAATTATAGCGAGGAATAAAAATCCGGAGGGGGAGGGCTAATATTATGGGTGGGCTTTAGATTGCTAACCCCAGAGTTCAGCATTAAGGAAAATATGGGAGGTAGATGGGGGTCTAATAGTTCCCTGTATGAAGTTTCAAAGCGCGCAACTTTATAGTTTTTAAGTAATTTGTTATTAAAGTTTGTAATTTTCACCAACTTATATTGGGCTATTTCACAATATATAATGCACTTTCCACTAAATTTACACGTTATTTACACTCAATATATGCGCAGTTAGAGTGTGCACGTTCAAACAAATAAATACTTTTAGTATATTACAGCTTTTTTATAAAAAATTGATTGTTGTTTAATTTTATGAGAGCACATGCAGAATATGTGGAAATGGCCGCAGGACTGTGTTGCCATATCTAAAAAAACCAAGAGTGGAAAGCAAGACCAAAAGAGAATACGATTAAAAGGAAAATACGATAAGGTTCTTTTGTTCAGATAAAAATAAATAGTAGGGGGATTGGGGTCATATTCCCCTCTTCCGGCAACACAGAAAGAAGAATTCTACGTAGTGAGGGTTATAATCCCTAAGTGCGGCCGAAGGCCGCCTACGCAGAAAGGTGTTCTATGCAAAAGGTGTTCGGCCCCTTTTCTTTGTTAACACTGAAAGGAGAATTCTACTGCCTGAGAGTTATAATCCCTAAGTGCGGCCGAAGGCCGCCTACGCAGAAAGGTGTTCTATGCAAAAGGTGTTCGGCCCCTTTTCTTTGGCAACACAGAAAGGAGAATTCTACTGCCTGAGGGTTATAATCCCTAAGTGCGGCCGAAGGCCGCCTACGCAGAAAGGTGTTCTATGCAAAAGGTGTTCGGCCCCTTTTCTTTGGCAACACAGAAAGGAGAATTCTACTGCCTGAGGGTTATAATCCCTAAGTGCGGCCGAAGGCCGCCTACGCAGAAAGGAATTCTACGCTAAAATACTGTGGACGTAAGTAAAAATTATTATTTATGTTATGTTTTTGTTCCACAGAGATTTGTGACCCCTTTTAATGGGTACCACTGTGGATTGTACTGTTAGTTTTATTCAAAGTAATGTTTCTTTCTCTGCTTTGGTATTATATTCTTTTCAATTATTTCGGCGTCGTTTGTGAGCTCTGGGTTTTGTATATAATTAATTATTTTAAACTAAAATGACTAATGATCAAGCAGGTATGTTTTTAAAGTTTTAAGTGCTTATATTTATACATCTAGTAAATATTTATCGTATTATTTAAAGATTTCGATACGCCCTCCACTAGCCGTGGTGTTCATCCACGAAATGCGACTGTGCTGTGCGTCGCTGAAGTACGCGGAATGTGGAGCCTTCTAAAGGTATCAAAGGCTTTTGATACGCGCGAAAAATGTACCGCTTTCGCAGAGGCACAGGGTCTAATTTTGACCAGAAGATTATGCCGTACGCATAAAATTCCAATGACGGTTTCACCATTGGGTAATAAAACGGTCGGCAGCTTTCGATGCCGCAAAGGGAGCTGCCGTTCAAGATCGGGCGTTTCTAGGGCCACTGGTACGTGGTTTGAAAATGCTAAGCTTCCACTACCAGACATTTTTTATCTAATGTACGCCTACGCTTCGCACTGGAACCAGGCTGAAGTTCGAAAAGAAGGTATTACCGAGGGAACCGTTTTGTCTAGCGCCACCATCTGCGATTGGTACAACTACTGTCGTGAGGCAACTGTTTTGTATCAAGTCGATCAGCAGGAGGTGTTAGGCAAAATTGGGGGCCCGTTAGAATTGTTCAGATCGACGAGAGAAAGTTCGGGAAGCGAAAATACCACAAAGGTACAAAAAATTTATTTTAAAACCATATTCTTTAATTTATATTTTGTTTTAGGCAGGAGAGTGGAAGGCCATTGGGTCTTAGAGATGGTTGAGGACGGCAGCGACGATCTGAGGTTGGAAGTCTGCCCAGAAAATGTCCGGTCTGCTGAGGTGCTCATACCCCTCATTCAAAAACATGTGGCCGAGGGTACAATTATTTGTACCGATTTTTGGAAGGCGTACGATTGCCTAGCGGACCACGGGTATGAGCACAGAAAAGTAAACCACAGCGATCCGGATAACCCCTTTGTGGCAGACGACGGCACGCATACGCAAAGGATCGAATCACAATGGCGTGTGATTAAAAGGTTTTTCAACCGAGACAACTATAATAATCCTCATAATTTTACGGATAAAATTATAGAATATCTTTGGCGCAAAACAATTGCTCGTAAGCATGAGGACCCTTTCCTCAAACTTATTGACGCACTTAAATATACATATAAGCCTTAAAAATGTGTTTCAGTATTTTATGGGGGAATATTACCCCAATCCCCCTACTATTTATTTTTATCTGAACATAAGAACCTTGTCGTATTTTCCTTTCAATCGTATTTTCTTTTGGTCTTGCTTTCCACTCTTTGTTTTTTAGATATGGCAACACAGTCCTGCTGCCATTTGCACATAGTCTGCATGTACTCTCATAAAGTTAAACAGCAATCAATTTTTCATAAAAAAGCTGTAATATACTAAAAGTATTTATTTGTTTGAACGTGCACACTCTAGATGCGCATATATTGAGCGTAAATAACGTGTAAATTTAGTGGAAAGTGCATTATATATTGTGAAATAGTCCCATACAAGTTGGTGAAAATTACAAACTTTAATAACAAATTACTTAAAAACTATAAGGTTGCGCGCTTTAAAACTTTACATACACCCCCTTGAGAACCCCCTCTACCCTCCCCTATTTTCCTTAATTCCGTAATCGGGGGTTACCATTCTAAAATTTTCCCAATATTATTAACCATTTAAAAGTTATGAAAAAAAAACTTTTGTTAAATTTCGTTGTTTTCTATGGGCAATTACACCGACAAAGATTCAATAAATCACCTGTTCTCACTTTTTAAACACTATTAAAATATATAATTTAACTTATTTATTAAACAAACACATAGTTTTATCAACCTAAGATAGATAATTTTGTTACTAAAAAGAATTGCGAACTGAAACGCGAGATTCCAAAATAGCTATAGTGCTGCCACTGTATTAGTATTTCGTAATAATTCACTTTTCCTTACAAGGTGTGTGCAGTGTTCAATGCTTTTCGGTATCTTCTTTCGTTTAATATATATATAAATAATAAAAAATTTTAATAAAAAATCGCGCGATGAAATGTGAAATAAAGTGGCAATACCAGCAATTTGAGGTTATAATAATTTTGGCAGGCGCAAAGTTTGTTTACTCTGTTTTATTAACGAAATATATAAAATAAAAGTGAATAAATGATTTGGTTTGCATAAAATAATAACCGGAGACGTTTTGATAGTGTTTTAAAAGTGGAAACTGGTGATTTAGTGCATTTTTGACGTGGTAATTGCTCATAGAAAACAACGAAATTTAACAAAAGTTTTTTGTTTATAACTTTTAAATGGTTAATAATATTAGCCCTCCCCCTACAGATTGTTAATAGGGGGGTCCGAAACGCGTCGTTTGGTACCCCTCCCGGACCTTTCTTAGGGGTTGTTACCCTATACTAGAGAATTACCTTTATAAATAATCTTATGTGTGATTGAATATTAAAATTTCTCGTTAGATGTAATTTATTTAACCTAAATTTTACTTTTCGTCATGCCGAAACGAATGCAGGACGGCTCGACTTCTGCACACTTCCACGCCCTGCATAAGTCACCAGCTAATAAACACTTTCTACTCATAACACATTTTCTGGCCATTCTTTGGCAACTACACACTTCCGCAAATGTTTCTGCAGCGATATATTGTATAAACGTTTGTGTTTAATACAATTTGCACGAATTTTAGCACGAAATCATTCATTTTCAATTATTTCCTTTTGAAATGACAAACAATTTTTATTTCCAACACAAAAAAGTAAACAAATGGCGATTTCCAAACGGCAAGCGCCTTATATTACATTTACATTGGACCCAAATGCGTGATTTGAAATCATTTGAAGGCGTTTACATCGCTTGATTCGCATTTCGTTTGACCTCCCATTAATTGAAAACGGAAAAGAAAAACAAAATGAATGTAAACAAACACTGCACGCTTTATATTTTTTGCATATGTTTTGGACATATAAGAGGCAATTATTCTTTGCACTAACTAAAAATGAGCGAATTGATGCGTAAATTAACAATTTTTATACACAAATACCAAAAATTTATTTGTTACGTTGAGTTTGTTTTGATTTGAAAAGTTCAAAATGTCAGAAACAAAGAAAAGCTTTTGGAGAGCTTTTGTTTTTGAGTGTGTTCAATAAAATAGTTCAGCAATTGGAACGCATTTGCTTCGTAATTTTGATTAAATGCGTTGAAATGCTTCATTTTGGAAATGCGAATTTGTATGGAGAAATTCTCGTCCAAATGACGCATTTGGGCCAGTGTAATTTCGATTCATGAAACTTTTATGATTAAGTGAAAAACTAAGGCACTCCGCACATTAAACGCCTCGTTCCGGCATACTAAAGTATGAAGCTTTTATGCCGAACACATGTACTTCAATGAAGCTCTGTATATTACGATTCATAATCATGTTTTCGCCTAATCATAAAAGCTTCATGAATCGAAGCGCCCAACATTGTAAGGCGCTTGCCGTTTTAAAATCATCATTTGTTTACTTTTTTGTGTTGAAAATAAAAAATATTTGTCATTTCAATAGGAAATATTGAAAGTTAATGATTTTGTGCTAAAACTCGTGCCAATTGTATTAAACCATAAGCGGTTATGCAATATTTTATAGCAGAAATATTCGCGGAAGTGTTTCACTAAGAAAGAACGGCCAGAAAATGTGTAGTGTATGCCACCAGGGCCTTTTCAGGGCGCGCAAGTGTTCAGAAGTGGAGTCGTCATACATTCGTTTCGGCATGACGAAACGTCTGCTCTACTATGATTAGGCTCGTAATGTGCGGAGTGCCTAATTATGAATCGTAATGTACAGAGCTTCATTGAAATACATGTGCTCGGTATAAAAGCTTCATACTTTAGTATGCCGAAACGATTACACTACTATGATTAGGCGCTTAATGTGCGGAGTGCCTTCGATTTAATTGACAATAATCACACTACATAACATAGACCTTAAATTTCTACACCGAAAGTACAAATTTGAGATCGATTTTAAGCGATCGTTATTCATATACCCACATACATACACTTAGGTATCTTTTAATGCGGATTTGAATTTATTGCGGTTTATCAAACCATTTGTTCGCTTTATTCATTGTCTCGCTTCTGATAAATAATTTGTCTTTGTATTCTTATATAATTCATGAATTTATTGTGGTATTTTTTTCTGTTTTTGGTTAAAATACAGATCAAATTTTATTTATTTCATTAATGTTCAGATTTACATGAAATAATAAGTGTTAAAGTAAAGAAATAAAATAATTTTTTGCTTAATATTGCCTCACTGGATTTTTTTATGCGGTTTTTTAGAAGTTTTTACATGGAGTATCTGCTTATGCGACTTTCTGAGGAACGATTCAAGTGTATTGCATGCGCCCCACGCTTTTCATTTTAATCTCATTGTTTATAATGACTTTTGCTAAAATTTCAAAATCAAAACCAATTCTATAGGACAAAGAAATATCTATTATTTTTTACTTGTTAGTCCATTTATAAAAGCGTGATATATTAAAAAAAAATTAATTTTATTTATTTTCTTCTTTTTAGTCTTGTCTGCATAAAATTTTGCAATAGATATTGTTTAAGCGACTTATGCATTTCCCGCATTAACTAAGATCAGCGAACACACACACGCACTTGTATATTGCACTCCCGTCCAAAACCAAGTGCAGCGAATAAACACACGCACTTGTGCTTAAGAATAATTCGTTCGTTCTTCATTGGGTATGCATTTTTTAATGCACTTCTCAACTGCCGCAGAACAAAACCTACTAAAGTAGTTAATTGCTGGCACTCTAAATCATGCTCAACTTGCTTGACGCATCAACCCACATGCTCAACACTTCCGCTTGATGCATCACCACTCCTCCGGAGTGGTTTTAAACAGCAAAAGCCAAGCCGCTACAAGCTGTTGGGGCTCTGTATGACTTTCAGCATACAGAGGTGGTACAAGAGCTGCCATTGGCCACCGCGCCTACCCAATTTTTGAACCTAAATAAATAACCAATGCTCAACAATTCCGCTTGATGCATCACCACTCCTCCGGAGTGGTTTTAAACAGCAAAAGCCAAAGCCGCTACAAGCTGTTGGGGCTCTGTATGACTTTCAGCATACAGGGGTGGTAACTGATGGTTATCATTGGCTCCGACGCCTACCCAAAACATTTTTGCTTTAATAAATTTTTATACAAATACATTCATCCTGGTCCTGCCCTCTCCAGTGTTGCCAGAACTTTTTGGACGAACCGGCTAAATTGGCAAATAAAACCGGCTAAAGACGGCTAAAATGTTTCAACTAAATTTCAGATGTTTTATTTAAATAAATCACGAGTAAAAAGACTATTTCTTGGAGAGAAGTTACAAATTCGAGCCGGAAAAAATTTTGCCAGCAAGAATTTGCAATTAGGAAAAACATATGATTAATTTGATATAATTAATTTAGATAATTCCAATGATTTGAAAGGTACTCGGCAAAAAAAAACTGTATTCTTAATCGGAATGCAATCTCAACCAGAGTCGATATAGTAAACCCGACAAATAAATTGAATCGTATGTTGAAGAAAGTCAGACTGACAAGATATATACACGTAGATCCCGTTTTTTGCCCCTCTGAAAGAATTTTAAAAATTCTATACAAATTTCTTTTGTTTGAAATGCAACCATGGACACTAGCTGGCAGAAAAACTTGCAAATTTGCGTTCGTACAAAAAATTGCAAGCTTCTCTACATGAGAAAAAATTTGGGAGCATTTTTTTTTACCAACTGATATTTTGAGTGATAATTCTCGCTGGATTTTCGACGAACAAACCTATTGTCTTCCCTACAAGGCCTTTTCAGACTGACCGATTCTCAATACACTCAAATAGAAACCAATACACATAAAAAACGCTGTAAAAATTTTCCTTCAATTTTAAGCCAGTAAAACAACGACCTTAAGTTAGCATCAACCGAGGCCATATGTTGACAAGGGATGCAAAATCACAGTTACACAAAAGAACTATTCAGATTTTTCAGAAATCCCTTCAATTCTGATGTAAAATATGATGCCAAAAGACTGCAGATCTCCCATTTGGATGACCGGTCATATGACCGGCAGATGTCTCGTAGGATTCCCAGAGAGTTTTGCTTTACATAAAAATTTGTGTTCTTTTATTTTCATTTTGACTCACTTCAGTGTTGGTTCCTTTAATTCACGTTGGCATTCGGTTTTTGGAATTTAAATAAGTTCTCAGCAAAAAAGTTTGTTTAAAAAAATACATATGTGTACATAGCAGAGAGCTGCATGGATACACTCAAATTACATTTTAAGT